TCTTTGAGACTCACCTCCCCCTGGGATCTGGAAGGCTTCAGCCTTCCCAGGGGGAACTGTGATAGATAGGGCTGGGAGAGGCACAAAACCACAGGCTCACTAACTTCTTCATTCCTAAGTCCATTTCTAGCATAACAATAACAAAACTGTAAAATCATTATAGAGATGGAAGTCTGTCTTTCTATTATCATAGTGCCAAGCTATTAAATAAAAGCTCGAAGATGAATGAACAAGTGAAATGGATTTATTTAGCCTCACTTGTGCCCCGTTTTTATCAGCGCTTCTGGAGCTTCTTACACTTTGATCAAACCCTTGTCGGCTTCCTGCCTCAGTCAGGTTGGAGAGCATTTGGTGGCCTGGGAGCCCTTATGACCAAGATCACTAGTTTTATGCTCTTCAGGTTTCATGTTTTCAACATCAAATGTGCTAGTTATAAAATTATGGATTTTCCTCATAAAAGTACCCTCTGGAAAGAGGCATAGAAATTATTATCTCTTCTCCAACAGCTGCCTTTTCTTCTTGTAGACCCGGTAGGTATAAGCTAAAGCTTCCTTCTTATAAAAATGCTTCTATGAGAAAGAGATGAGCGTGAAAATGCCTTTTTATAGACCCTCTGTCTATCCCCGCTATGGGGATCACTTAAGCATGAAGAAATTTCATGATGATTTGAAATTGACTACCCCCTTCATCTCCAAGTGCTTCGGGATCACCTCCCCAGCTGTTTAAAAAGTTGTTGAGCCATTAACTGCTGCTGAGGCTGCTCCGAGCTCCCTTTGAAATGGGGGTCCCCCAGCAGTAGTACATAATATTGATGAGCAATGAGTGACTGCCAGCTGCCTCCTCCACCAGGCCTTTCTGGGTGCTGACAAGCACTACTGCTGCCTGTGTGGCCTCCTGGCCCACCATGCCTCCAGAGTGATGGATGCCCCTGTCAGCACTTCTGTTTCCACAGCTGATTGGACGCCTTTAAACCAGCCTCTTCCGAGAGCACAGAGGTTGGGGAAGCTCTTTGCCTTTCTCAGTGATCCTAGGTCGAGTGGTCCCAGTGTTCTTTTACCAAAAGCAAGTCTCACCATTCAGCCCATTCTCCAGATGAGCAACAGGGAAGAATCCAAGTCCCATAGAAGAGGAGAGAATGAGTTTCTGAATCAGATGCCCCTTAAACCCAGTTTTAGGCAGGAAAGAATCAAGAGTCCATATTCCCTTTCTAAAACTGAACACATGGTCAAATAATTCTGGTGCAAGTGAGCAAGGGTTTCAGTCTTTGTCTCATACATTTAATTTCCCACCCCCATCGTCCTTCTCTAAAGGAACAAAAAACTCTTGAAGAATCATAACACCTAGGATTCGATTTTATGGATTACAGTTTATTAAACAAGCAACTTATTTTAATTGCTACAAGAAAATGAAAACTAATATGTTATTTTTTTATTTCAATAGAAGTAAGTGGCTGATTTTGTTTGCACACATGATATACAAAGATTCGATTTTTGGTGCTTGGTTAAGGGCTAAGCTGGTTTCTTGCCTTGTGTCTCATGTGACTAAAAAAAGTGTGGTCTTGACTAGATATTTCTCTCCTTGAAGGAAGCATTATATGGGAATGGAAGCATGACACCTAACACGTATGTTGACACACATATATCATGCTAGGCTCTGCTACAGGGTGTTTGTATTGTCTCATTTCATCTCACAACAATGCTCTGATATAGGGACTGCCGTGATGGCCACCTGGTAGATAAGTGAGCTGAGAGGTTCAGGGACTTGCCCAAGATCACACAGCTAGAAACAGCAGATGCAGGATTCAGTCAGGCCTCAAACCCATGCGTTGTTTTTGGTTTTAGTCATTTGGCTCCTCCTCCTTGTACGGTGTTTGTGTCATAGGAGATTCAGGAATTGCATGATTGTCCCTCACCAAACGAATAGGATTAAACACGGACTCTTCCCTCTCCCAATATAGTTGCTTGTCTGTCTCCTGAAAAGGAGCTAACTTTACACTCAGCTACCAGGACTGTTTCAAACATAACAAGTAATTTACTTTTCAATTTTGAAGAACAGTTGTAAATGTATACAATCTGAACCTCTGAAACAGGTGTTTCTCAAACTCTCTCTCCCATGGACCCACTACATCAGTATCCCCATGGAATGTTCATTTCAAATGTAGGGTCTGAGCTCCACCTAGAATTACAGGAAAACACAGTCCCCGGGGGGTAGATCCCAGGAACCTGCATTTGAGGGAAGCACCCCAGGGACTCACGCACACTAAAGATCGACAAGCGTTCCTGAGATGCTTGTGAAAGTTTCAGGAGCTCTGCACATCATCAATTCATCTGCAATGATCGTAGGAAGCTTTCACAGCCTTTCTGCCTTCGTGAGAACAACAACTATTCTCACACTGTTACAGTCTCCTTCTTGCAAACCAGCTGGTTAAGAGAGCCTGAATAATTTCCCAAGGAGCTCTAGTTAAGTGGACACTCACACGCTCTTTGTCCATGAGAACATAGAAAAGATGCAGTTTTCCATTCTGGACCCATAGTGAAATCTTTCAGAATGGGCTTGTGATCGTCTTTCTCTTTTTGCTCAAAACCCTTACAAAGACCTTAACTGAGACCTTGTGTCATCTGGTAAGCCCCATCTCCAGCTTTATCCTTGGAGATGCTCACCCACTGCTCTGGTAACACTGAACTTCCTTCAGTTACTTCCGGCGCCCCAAACACCACAGCACCTTTGCATACGATCCTAGGGCACAGTCTGTAACCTCGGCCCCAGCAGCTGGTTAGATCTCACCCTTCAGAGCCCAGTATACACGGCACTTTCTGCCAGTCAGGGAAAGGTAAGTATCATGTGATCCCACTCATATGTGGAATCTAGTGAACAAAATAAACTGATGAACAGAATAGATCCAGAAACACAGAAGCATGGAACACCAACTGTCAAACCTCAGAAAGCAGGGAGGGGGAGAGGGAAGAGAATTTGTATGCATACTTGCATGGACACAGACAACAGGATAATGAAGGACCTGCGGTGGAGGATCCATGTGGCTAGATGAGGTCAATAAGGGAGAAAAGGGGACATATGTAACACATTAAACAATAAAGCTTTTTTTTTTTTTTTTTAATGGCACTTTCTGGAGAAAGCCATCCTGGCCTGCCAGAGGAAGCCAGAATGTCCTAATAGCCAGCACTTCCAGCATCATTCTTCCACAGCACTCACCACAGGTTTTCACTTGCTTTTGTCTGTGTGGCAACTTGATTCACATCTATCTTTTCAAGTCTATTATTAGCAAGAACCAGTCTGTTTTGAAGTAACTCATAGTGTTGGACAGAAGGTCTTCGCTCTCAGACTAAAATTTAACATTCCTTTGGTAGACAAAGGTTCCACATGTCTCATTTCTATCCCTATCAGTAAACAGCAGCGGGAATGGGAAGTCTGAACACCAGACCTCTTCATGTGTTCTAGATCCTTTTAATAAATATGTCAACAGTTCTCACCATACCGCTATTTTTAAATTGTTCATAGTATGACAATATCGTCATCAGTTGTTTAAAGGAAAGTTAATGAAAGAGTGGAAATTTCGGAAAGCCACAAACTACCTAATTATCTATTTCCTCCTGTACTTCAAAGAGTGCAATGGTTTTTTATGGTTAAGTAGGGTGGGGAGCACAGTGAGCCTATGGGGTGATTAGATAGGTTTTATTAAATTGTATCTTATCATCACTTTCAAGTGAGCTATATGAACGATCAAGCTTATCTTTTGTAAGACTATTCCCTAAATGAGAACATACCTCATTCCCACAGTAATTGGACCACAATCAGATTTGGGTTTAAGCTGATGTTAACATGAAATGGTAGATTCTAAGTATACCTAAGTTACAATATGTTACCAGTTAGAATTGGTCATCTCCTAAGACTTCTATATCATTTGGCAAACTGTGGACATTATTACAAAAGCATGGTCTTCCTATTATTTGAACTCAAAATTACATCCTATGTTATATATGTAATTCAAAACCTAGCAATTATAAGTGGATATTCTCACCCAGGTTTCTAAAACATCTTCCTGAGGAAGCTAATTGGCAGTGATCTCCCGAATTTTCCCTTGATCAAATATAGTTTCATTTCGTGCATTATAGCAGAAAGGGGTCTGAGAGATGTAGGCAGGCTAGTGATCCTGACAGCAAAGCAGGCCAGGTAATTATGAACTACATCTCATGTGGCTTAGGCTACCCCTTCCTAACGGCTTCTCCTTCTCAAACTAAAAACCTAATACATCACAAAAGTTTTTGGGAAATAATAGAAAATAATATTAGCTAACAATTGTGTTTCCTGCCTGCAGTGTTCCTAACACTTTGGTATAATTACCTCACTCAGTCCACACAACAACCCAGTGAAGCAGGTGCTGTGCCCATCCTACAAACGAGAAGACTGAAGCATTGCGAGTGTCACAGCCACACAGCCCATTAGCTGCTTTGGAATCAGGATTCCAGAGCACCCACTCCTGAGGCTTAAACTAGACTACCTCCCATCCAGACTTTATTTAAGAACAATGAATCAGGAAACTTGGTCCAGCTCTCTTTCTCTGTATTTTTCCCTTGCACATGTGTCAAACACAAGGCCCGCGGGCCAAATCCGTCCCGCCAGGCCTTGCAATGTGGCCCGCACCGCACTGTCATCACTGCACTCCGCTGCGTTTCCATCACAATGACAGTTTATGACTGTTCAGTAAACCATTCCGCCCGCGATTTAGGCTGGATTTTAGATTTTGGCCCCTTCTCTGATTGAGTTCGACACCCCTACTTAGAGGATGATGGGGTGGGGGAGTAGGAGGAGCAGTTTGTTTTGTTTTATTCTAAAGGAAAAGCTGAAAGTGAGCCTTCTGTCTCTCTGAACATCTTTTTCCAAAGCCATTTCCCTTCATCAGGGCCAAGAAGGACACTGCTTCAGAAGACAGAGTACTAATGAGCTTCCTCCTTTGTCTCCTTCCCTGCCCCTCCATTCTGCAGTTAATAGCCAAGATACCGACCATCACGGCAGTTTGCAACTTGCACGGGGAGAAGCTGCAGGTATTTAAGCAATCGCATCCAGACATAGTGAATACACTCTTTCCTCCGTTATACAAGGAGCTCTTTAATCCTGACTGTGCCACCGTCTGCAAATGAAGGCAGCGACAGAACTATCTCGTGGTCCTGGAATGCATCACCATTAACACAAAAGCAATGTGTTCGTGAAGACTTAAGGAAAATGTCACTACTGCAACATTAGGAATGTCCTGCACTTAATAGAATTATTTTTCACCGCTACAGATGGAAGAATGTAAATATGCACCTGAGTGGGGCTCTTTTATTTGTTTGTTTGTTTTTGAAATGACCATAAATATACAAATATAGGACACTGGGTGTTATCTCTCTCTCTCTCTCTCTCTCTCTTTTTTTTTTTTTTTTTTTTTTTTGTAATTTTATTCGGGTATGTTTTGGGAGATAATTGTTTATAGAATTTTATTGTAGATATATAAGAGAACAGAGCGGTACTTTACATGATTACTTTTCCTGTTGATTGTTCAAATATAATTTAAGAAAATTCCACTGAATAGGTTTTCCTATTTCTATGTTTTTAGGTAGCTGATGCATGTGTAAATTTGTAGCTGTCTTGGAAAGCATTGTGCATAATGTAATAAGTATATAATATCTGGGAATATTATATATGACAATTACTTATACATGCACATGCACTGTGGCTTAAAATATCATACCTACTATCAAAGGGGGTTCAGTCAGGCTCTCTTATATTATTTACCTTCTGTGTTATATGTTACCTTTATGTTAGACAATCGGGATTTTGTTTTCCCAACCAGAGTGTCAGTGGCAAGATAGTACCAATACAGAAATAAGTCTGCAAAGGAAGTCTGCAAAGGAAGCATGGCCTCTGTATAAAAACTCTGCTTCTATCAATGACATCAAAGCCTTGTCAAGATGGTACACATTGGAGGGGAAATTTAAGTGTTTGGAGCCATTTTCCTGTTTTAAGAATTAGGCCACAGGTAATATTGTGGAGGCCAGGACTTTTTTGACCAAACAATAGATTTTCACTGGGACACACAAAACACTTTTTTTCTTTGGATTTCAGGTTATGAAGGAAACTTTATTTTGGTGCTTACTGTGTCTTCAACAGAGAAATACCATCTGTAGATTAAAATCACCAGCAATTTTTTCTAATGAAATTGGAGTAAATCAGAAGCTAGGGTCCCAATGCCATTTCATGCAAACATTTTCTCTCTAACCATTTTTCTTTTTGGCAAAGAAGAAGTAGAAAGAAAATATACAAAGTAAAGAAGTAGTTCTTTATATCCATTTTCTTTAATAATTTTGTTAGAAAAAGCAGCAATAAAGGGAAGGCAGGACTTTATATGTCCTTTAATCAGGAGCCTCTGGTTTTTTTTCCAATTCCCAAACCTTGCATTATAAAAATATGGCAAAAACTTGACAGATTGTAAAAAAATTATCTGAGTTATTATATAAAAGAAATACACCCCGAAGCCAAACTCTTTCCTAGGCGGTTTGAAATTACATTCTCCATCTAGCCTGAGATTATTTTCTTAGCATCTTTTAAAAGATCGGAAGAGGTGAAATAAGGATTAGAGAATTTAAACTTCCTAGTACAAATTCTCACTTCTCCACCTGCTCTTCAATCAAACTGATCACCAGGAAACAAAAAACCAACAAAAACCCACACATAAATTCTATGGAGTTTGTTCTACTTGTGGTCTGAGGCCTTATATTTATGGACTCATTTTATCCAAAATTGGGTTTTTAAAAAAGGGAGAGGAGAGCTTTATGTATAAAACAATGAAAATGATGATTTCCTGTAAGTATAGCCCAGTCCCTTAATCCTTTCAAACACACACACACACACACACACACACACACACACACACATGCACACGCACACGCAAGCATGCACACCTGCTTTGTAAAGTTGCCATCAGTAGAAGCTTTGAGTTCTTGGTTCATCTTTTATGCTTTCCTGAGTTACATGGTGTAGAGCCCTCGCCTCGATGCCACAGAACTCCTCACTGGTGATCAAACAGAAGTGCAGCCTTTTCTTTTAGAAAACAGTCTTTTTCCACCTCATGATTGATGAATTCCAAACCAATGGGGGAAAACAAAAAGGCTTTAAAATAATGAATCTCTTTCTCAACTACTGTTATATTCAATTAATTTAACTACATTGGACCAAATTAACTTCAGTGTCTAAGAAGACAGCTGTAGACTGCTTATTATGCTGCTACAGGGACTCAATTCTTTTTGGTGTAAATGTCACTCCTGCTAGCTCTTTGTATAAAGAATTAATTCCAAGAGTCATATTTCCTTCTAATGGAAAGATTACTTTACTGATTGCTAGGAAAACAGGGTAATGGAAGGCACTCAATTAAACCAAGCCGTTTCCAAATGCAATGTATGTTTTATGATTGGCTTGTGATAGGCGCGACATTTAATGTGTCTACTTGGTGTTTCCCTTTGAGCTTTGAACTTATGTCAAAGTTTGTTTTCATTGTTCTGTTGGCCTGGTGTTCTCCATTGTCAGCCTGTAATGCCTGCTCAGTTGCAAAGAGGATGGTTTACCTTGGAGGGTTTAAATTGGCCCAGTTGATGAAGTGGCTAAGGATTTTTTCCTCCCTCGTCCCATGGGTGATGTAGGAAAAGAGATTGCTCCCCACATTTGCCTCAGGAGGTACTGGATTTGAATTTGTGTCGTTTCCACTAGTGCAGGCATTTAATTGGGACTGCATGAACCTTTTGAAGTGAGGGGATAGGAAACAGCTAGAGACTGAACCGGAACAGAGCAGTGGAAACCAGTATGCGCTCAGCCCACTTTGGCTGAGAAACGAGATTTCCGTTCTCCCCCACGGTGGCCAAATCGGTCCCTTAAAAGACAACCGAGACATACTTTTGATGGTAACAAAGCACTTTTACAAGCTGCCCTTTAAACATCTGCTGTGACTCCCGCTCGAGGTATTTTGAAAGTTGGGTTAAGAACAACTTCCTTTACCACACGCGATCCTCGTCCCTTCCCCGTGACCACTCACAAATGTTCACAACACATTCATGGCAAAGTGTGCACTGGAAAAAATGACCCACGAGCCCTACTTTTTACTCCATGCTTCGTAAATGACAATCACTGCTTGATGCAGATGTTGCACTGTATCCACTCAGGGATGTTTTATTTCAAAAAATAAAAAATAAAAAGGTACATCCAGAAGGAAGGGGAGGGAAAAACAAAACAGGAAAATGACAACAAAAATGGAAATGGCATCAACTATGCCAATGAGAGAACCTCTGACAAGGCTTTTCAGACCAACGAGCAGTGACTTCATGTTGTAAACGGAGCTTACTTTTACTATTGAGACTTGCTGACAAGTATTGTAGCTCAGGAGTAAGGACAACTTAGTCTCATTTTCTAAAATCTGCCAAGAGCCCAATAATCCAGCTGCTCCATTTACAGGAATACGTATCTCCCAGTGAACCCAAGCTTCCCATACAAGTCCCGAGCAAGGGAAATACAGATCTGGGCCACATGAGATGAACCCGACAGGGAGGTGAAGCTGTACTTGTGGTCTGTGAAAGGAAAGGCAAATTTTGGAGGGAATAGAAGAGAAAAGGGGATCCCAAATCCATCCAACACCTCACATAGAGCCCTACTGCCCGTGACTCAGGTCATCTTTGTGTCCCTTTTTCTGCACTTCTTTTATCCCCGGAGCCTGAAAGCTGAAGGTGGAGATGGACTGCACAAGTATACCCTGCCAGGGTTCTCCTTGTTTTAAATCTGACTTCTAGGCATTGGACTAAAAGGCCACCGATTTGGTAAAAACAGAGAATGCAGTGGTCTCGTGGGTAATAAGACCTTCTTGATAGAATCTGAGAGACCCTAAATTATAATGAACGCTGAATATTAAAGAGAGGTGCCAGGGAGGCATCAGTCCACTTTCTATCATAGCTGCCTTGTTCAACACATAACTTCACAGTAGTCAAGCTGAACTGTTTGCAGCAAATCACACACATGGGCAGTTAGCTCACTCTCTACTACCCCAGGTGTACCTGGTTTGAATGCAGAAACAATTCTTGGGTCCCAAGGACAACCTAAAATGTAATCAGGTTTTTTGCAAAAACATCAGATTCAAGGGATGCGAGTTTGTCCTATGTTCTTCATTTTCACTTATTATGGACGCAAGAAAAATTCTGCATCTATTAGCAATTAGAAGAAATAATGTTTCCTGACACTTTTTTCTCCATAAACTTTTGTTCCCAAGGAAGTTAGTAGTATTGACAGTATTGACAGTAAACTCAGGCAAGGATGTCTGTGCCGGACAGCACCACCAGGCAATGGAACAGCAATATCTTTAAAATGTGTGTCTGTAGTGAGACTTTGCACAGAGCCCCCTGTATTAAGGAAAGAAAGGCCCACCATCTGCTTTAAATGATGTGGTATTTGATTTTTTTGTTTCTAACTGTCAGTACAAGCAGCAACCTGATATAGGGTCTTTAGTTAAGAGTTGGTCATCATTTTGGGGTGAGGGAGGATCAGACCAGAGATACAAGTTCATTTAAAGCCTGAAAAAGCCAGGGAGTTGATGCAAGTGAGTGAAGCAGGCCAGTGAGGAGCTGGCAAGGAAATGCCCCATCCAAAAAGGGCCAACCTATAATCTGCTGAAGCTTAAGTGTGGCCAAAGCTTCTGAACCTTAGGTGATCTCTTGAGCTATAAATGATGTCAGCTGATTCAGAGCGTAATGCAGTCCAAACAAACATCTCTGAGCAGAAGAGGGCTCACAGTTTGCAACCTCTAGTTTTAAAGCCTAATCACACTTAGGGGCCGATTTGGCCGGAGAAGTCTGGCCAGATACAACTCTGAATAATATGAGGGTGGAGATCTTGTCCTTCTGATATTCCTTTGGTTTCCACATCTGACAGTCACTACTAGAGGAGATAATAGAGGTCAGTTGAAAAAAACAGCAGTCTAAACATGAAAACACTCTAATGATGGCTTATAAACAACACTTCTCTTTGTCTTGCCCCAATTCCCAGCTTCATAGAGCCAGGTGGCTAGATTTTTTTTTATTTTTTTTTCTGCCACTTTTTCCAAAAAGTCAAATGCACAATTATTATACTTTTGGGATCTGCAATGAGTCTTTATTTTCCCTTGGTTGTATCTAAAGAACTTATTCAAGAGTCATGATCATAAGTCCTCCATTGTTCTGAAGTGTGGGACCATGCATTCCTATGCAGCAGGCGGGGCTGGCTGTCTGTGCACTTTTTCCCTAAGCTGCAAAGTGATTGCCCATAGTGATCATGCCTTTGTCATGACTGTGAGCATGACCTCCAGTGGATCAGAAAAAAGCAGCTCAGTGACTGTCTCACAGCCACAAATAAAGCACAAGGTTACGGGAACTGAATAGACCCAGTTGAGGGACGTTCAGGGTACCTGTACCCCAGCTGGGCAGCATGATCCTTATCTCAAACTATACCCTTCTGGCAGTGGCTGGTGGAGAGCATGTGCGTGCCTCTGTCACGGCTGCATGCAGACACACCCTAGGTATATCAGAAAAGCTACAGATGCCACATCCAAGCACAGTACCGTCCGCTTCATCTGATTAACACACACACAAGAATGGAAACCACGCCCACAGAAAACTGAGTATGTATTGTAGAAATGTAGAGGAAAAATAAAAATATTTTTTCAAATGTAATTACTTTTAATATATGCTTGTGGAAGGTCTAATACGATGTATGCTGTCTCTGTAATTTTTGCTGTAAATAACTGGAGACGGTGAATACACTGATTTTTCTATGTCTCTGTTTAAGCATAAGACTTTGTAACAATTTTTTAAGAGGGGGAAAAACCAACAAAGAGCAAATATGTACTTGCTTCCTTTCTGCGTGTTATGTGCTTCTCAGAAACTGGTTGTAACAGTCAAAAGCATCCTGACGGGTCATTGGTGTTAATTGTACGCTTCTTTGTGTAATACAGCTGAGGAAGGGACAGGGCTGTCAATTATATCTGCTCCAAAGAATTTGCATTGAAGATCGGCCCCAAACCTGCAAACTCTACCTGAACTAGACAATATGATAAAGGAAAGTTAAAGAGAGAGAGAGAGAAAGAAATGTTGCCCAAGTAAGTCATCTTTCCTTGTAGCAATGGCTTTGTCTAAATCCTCTCTGCATGAAATAGCTTAAGGAAAACAAGCTCTGCTTTCTGATGAATGAAATATTTTTGTACACGTTTATTTCTTATGAATAACCTGGGGTCAGACTACTCATTTGCTGAAGCCATAACTGACCTTCACCAAATAAATGCCGTCAAGAGCCCGGGGAAGGCCGGGGAGTGACTGAGAGGGAAGATGGCAGGTGTCGTGGGCTGTAACCACACAGGCAGGAGCAAGTCTGATGAACCTGATGCTTTTCCTGCATCCCAAATATGACTTTAAAAGGCTAGTATTTTATGATGATCAATTTATAATAAAAGAAAAGATATTTAGATTTAAATGAGACTTTCCAGTATTTTTTAATTCCCCGACAATGCTTCCTTGCTTTTAGGATTGAGAGAAATGATTTTCATATACTTCCAGCTTTCGAAGATGTAATATTTTTACCTTAGCTCCAGCCTATACATGTAGAGGGAAGAGCTGCGCCAAGCCCTCCAGCGGTTGAAACTACAGGCTGTTGGGGGGCGTGGCTGTACCTACCAATCACAACTGTACCCTGAGGGGCCATGTGTGAGCAACGTGCAGCTGGCCTCTCGTATTAGCATGCACATCATGTTGGCAATGCACCGCAGTTGCATTGCCAAACATATGTAACATGAAAGTATTCACGCTAAAAAGCATAATAATTATACTTTTTTAAAAAGAATAATGCCTTGTAGAGTCACCATTGATTTTTCTGGAGCTTAATTACATTATTATCATGTATTCTGATTGCCCTATAGAGGCAAAAGGCAAACTACAAAAAAACCCAGTGACATCTTTAGTTTTAAAATCTACAATTTTCTGATCTCTCTCTCCTTGTTTAATATATAAGCCCTAATTTCTGTGTATGTGACTAAAACTGCAGCCTGAGTCATTTAGGAAGTAAGCATTGAGTTTTTTTAATTATAAATATACTAGAATAAAACAGCACTCCCTAACAATTAAAAAAAAAGAGTTTTATATTACTTTAGAATGTAATAGGTTTTGTCCTTATTTTATGTCCTGTAAATTATTAGTTGAATACTGTTAGCATTCCCTGATAATGCACACATGATTTCTGAATGTTTTCTGTAAATGACAATCAATGTTTATGAAGTTCCCTCCTTTAATGCTGAAGAAAATTAAAAGGAGAAAAAAAAAAAGTCTTGCCTAATTGTTTTCTTTTCCCACATACAGAACAAGGACTGGATGAAGAAGTTAGATTAGGCTTTGAAATATATTATCCTATTACCTATACATTTGCCCTTTTTGACTAAGTAATGGAAAATAAATTCTTCCGTCATCATGGACCTGGCCTGAGTTAGAAATGCTCATTGAGAAAAGAACCAGATTTCATTCTAGCCAAAGAGCTTACCAATTAAAATGAGAGCAACATCTCTCAAAGATAATAGTTCTCTTTTTCTGGAACTTTCATGAAAGGAAACCCCAGCCAGCAGAGCCATAAGCAACAGCTCTGTAAAAACTTTGTTTAAATAAGTTGCAGCAGGTTTGAAATAGGTGTGACAACCCCTTCATCTGATGAAAGCTTTCAATAATTAATGATTAAGTCTCTAGATCAGTTTGTGTGTGTATATTTATTTGTTTGTTTTTAACATAGCATCACCAACCTGCTCCACCACCCAAATCAATGCTCACCAACATATGAATGCTCTGAAGCTGTGGCAGGAAGCAGCAGACGACAATCACACACAGAGTAACATTACAAAGGCAGTTCTAGGAGAGGCCTGCAAACTCTTAGGTCAGTGGTTCTCAACCTTTCTAATGCCGCGACCCTTTAATACAGTTAGCAATCCACATGTTGAGACCCGCTAGCAGAGTCACCTAATAACACAGATATTTACATTATGATTCACTAACAGTAACAAAATTACAGTCATGAAGTAGCAACGAAAATAATTTTATGGTTGGGGGTCACCACAGCATGAAGAACTGTATTAAAGGGTCGTGGCTTTAGAAAGGTTGAGAACCACCATCTTAGGTGCTTGGAGGTTGTTGCAGGTTGGAGTCCCTAGAAATGAAATGTTTCAAGA